TGCCACGTCTTCTCGAACACCTCTCTGACGTGCTCATCCAAGTCACATTTGGACACAAATATGAATGGCAGTGCAGCCGTAGCGAAGGCCATAAACCGGTCATTAGACAACTTCGAAGCGGCTTGTAAAATCTCGGCTGAAATGGCCCGCTGATTAGAGTCTTCGGCGGTCATGTATAGTTCTTTAGCATGTTCGATTGTCTTAAGCACTCGATTATCCGAGGCGAGACGCAGGAGATAGCCAATAGATGTACAGTAGGATGCACTGACGGTGTCATTGCGATCCACCACGAATTTGCCGAGGAGCTGTATGAAACGATCTGCATAGGGACGGAAGAGCATGGACCGCATGCTTGAAAGGACCAAAACCCGGCTACAGCCAACCTTAGATGGAAGCCCAACGGCCGAGCGCAACACACCTTCCAGCCTCGTGGCAAACTCTTTCATACTCTCTTCATCCAGCATGTCTATGAGGTATCTTTCAATCACTTCCATCATGGGAGATGTTCGAATACTGGACAATCTCATCTTGTCGATATCTTGGCCTGTCAGACCATACTTATCGGCGTTTAGATGAACGTAGTTGACTGCTTGAGGCTCCAGTGAACTCAAAGAATTCAGAAACTGTTCCATCATGTGGGGTATGAACGGCCGCAATGGTCCGCCTGGGCTTTTTCGGATCATTTGAATCAGGGCTCCGATGGCAAATCCTTGGACCTCCTCAACGCCGGATTCCATGCCCTTATCACTCAATAGGAATGGGATAGCGCTTCGTAGCATGGTTTCAGCTCGCTTGGTATCAGTGTTGCTTGTCTCCAATGTGCGGATAATCGCATTGGTAATCGTCTGGCAAAGCTTCAATGCTGAAGCTCGAACGGTCTCTTTAATATCATCTAAAAGCTTGAAGGCCTTGGTAAAGATTTCATCCATGTACTGCGCGTACTTTTCGGGCTGACGGCCCTGGATTAGATCGGCGATTGCAGTACAACTTGCCTGCCGAACCCTCCATTCCCGACCCGCCAAGAGGCTTCTCAACAGATCATTCATGATCTCATCAAAATGGGTCTCAATAACTTCCATCGGGTCCTTGACCAAGGCCTTCCAGATGGTATTCATGGACCGCTGAACATTGGGGTTAGGGTCGAACCGGTAGCGAAATAGCTTAGGATAAATCTTAGGGTTCTTCGCCAGGTAACCGTTGACGCTCGAGTCAGAAAAGATACTGCTGATGCCCATTTTGCTGAAGGCCGCACGACTCGACCAGAGGGCATTATTCGAAGCTAAGGACATGAAGCGATATACAAGGGTTGGGTCACCGGCTTCGGATGCGAGGTTCATGATGTCTTTGTAGGTATTGACCGAGGAACCACCACCAGTAGGGAGAGCCCCGGGTTCGAACAGCTCTGTATTTTGGCTGACCCTGCCACCCGCGAGTGTTGAATTGTTCTCGGTGAAGGAGTTGACCAGGTCACGCACTAAATCGTCTTTCAGGCTTTGGTCGCCCATGCCATAAACGAGGCTTAACCCCTGTGCACCAGTTTCCTGTACCACCTCGTCTCGGTCAACGAGCAGGCTGCTAAATGAGCTTTGGCATTGACGCAGACGATCTTGCATGAGGGATAGATGACCGCAGTTTTTGACCAGACTCAATAACCAAATAGCAGATGCCCTTTTAAGCGACGGTTTCGGTGCGCCACATTTGGCAATAATTGTGTCAGCCATATCCGCAAGCACTTGTTCCGGCACATATGAGTCTGGCGACTCTGAGTCTACATCGAATTCCAGAACCAATGATTTGGAATTCCAACCAGCCGCAGCATTGCTTAGCGCTTCACCGACTGTGAAATGTATCTCAGGGCTGCGGATTTCATGTAGACCATAGAGGGCTTCCGTTAGGGTACTGAAATGTGAATCACCAGGGTCCTCCTTCGGAAAGATCAAAGAGAGGAGCCCTAGTGCCATTATGGCCACTTCGCTTTCGGCCTTTGCATCTCGTACGAGAACGTCTCTGATGGCTTTCCATTCCATATCAGAAAGAATAGAAGGAGACAGAATTTTGGAGAGACTGAGTTGTCCAATTGCTAGCTGGGCGGAACGTCGAAGAAGTGAGTCGCGCGCGTTATCGATCATGTCACGGATCGTATGAACGAAATGATCCACATGGACGTTTGGCACCTTGGCTATCATATTACGGAATGCAAGTCTGCTCAGCATATATGATAGTGCTAATACTGCTCCTCGAACCCTAAGTGCACCCTCGCCAACTGCAGTTTTCCATGGCGTTATGCACTCTGAACACTCCACAACCAGTGACATGAGGTCATTATCAGGAAGGGCAGGATGAGAGGCTAGGATTCCAATTGCGCGGGCAGCCATGGCCTGGATGTCTTGGTCGTTGCTCTTCAATGGGGTTCGCAGCACTAGTGTCTGCGGGACCACCGCCTCCACTATGTCGTTCGAGGCTAAAGAGCATATACTGACGAAATGCTTTCCGCATTGCTGCAGTCCCTCCCGGCTCTCACGGGTAAGGCCGGCCAAAGCGCTGTTCAAAAACAGAACAACCCCTTCTTTGTTGATAGCCCGAAGATAATGTCTAAGAGAGGACCTTGCGTGTTCGTCGGATGTAAGCATCACGTCAAGTTTAGTGTCCCAGTCTTGGTCGACCTCTATGGTGGAATTAGAAGCAGAGAGTGCCTCCCAGAGCAGTATGTTCCTGATGAACGCTATAATGGAAGCAAACGCGTGCTTATAGGGACCCGATACAATTTCCGATGCAGAAAAACCAGATACTCCATTTGAGGCTGCCGACCCAAGTATGAAGCAAGTAAGTTCTGAAAACTTTGGGAAGTCATACCACATAGAATCTTTTCTGGCTATGGCCGAGTGGCTATCGTTTGAAGGACTCAAAAGTCGGTGCCAGAATGGATGTAGACCTTTCTTGCCTTCCTCCATAACTTCCTGTTTGTTTTCTGACCCGCGCGCGATCGCCATGAGATCTATCCAGCGGGCGACAACATCGTGGTATGGCAAGAATCTGTTGGCAAAACGTACAGCAGCGTACTGAGGACCGCGAACGACAGCGAACCCGCTAGCTGGATCTTCTCCTCCAGGGTAGTTATTCATCTGCCGAATCAGAAAAGGCCGCAGTTGGTCTTGGAAGCCACTGTCCCAGCTATCTATTGAAGAGTTGAGTATGCTTCCCAAGGCTTGTTCAATGCTCACAAATATCTGGGAGCTGGAATCATCAGAGCTCAAGGAAGCAAACAGCCATTGAATGAGATCAAAGCCAGAGAGACCTTCCTGCCCATTGTACAATTCAAAATTGGTTTTGGGAACCAAAATACCGATGCTTTCGTACGCAAGACCCCGTAGACTCAGATCTGTACTTGGAAGTCTTTGCCCGCTGGCCGCTGGACTCGGCCATCCTTGAGACTGTATGAAATCTCTCAAGCCTGCTATGAGCTTGGGTGCCACTTCATCCAGGTCAGATGGAGAACCCATTTTAACAACCCACGTAGTGAAGTTGAATATTTGTGTTCTCAACTTCGAGGCCAACAGTCCTTGTGATGACCTTGCAGCATCTGATAGAAGGCCTTCTTCAATCACCCGCATAACACTCACTCTATCCTTTGTCGCTCTAATCGATTTTCCAAGGAAAATCAGGATTCTGGTCTGCAAAGCAGGTCGCGCCGGAGGTGCGCCATCAGGCGTCCCGGCTCCAAAATACAAGCCATAAAGTTGTTGCACAACCTCTGCCGCCTCCATGTTCGGAATGAATCTTTTCAGAGTTTCTTCGCCAAGATCGGAGAGACGGGAGTTTGCATCTGCAGACGCTATGAGAGCAGGTAAGAATCGCTCTGTGTCGCTGAAAGCTCCACTAGCCAAGAATCTTAGAGCATTGACTTTGGTTTCTGTCAGATTCAGACCACCTTCTGCAGAAGGATTCCATGTTTCTGAAATCGAGGCGTCCTTGTTCAAAAATGTATAATCTGCAGGAGACAACCCGGGACAAGTCGGCGAGCTCTTATCTGCGGGAGCAAGGAGCAGCAATTTCTCAAACCATTTCGATAGAAATTGCGTATCTTGGCCGGACAGACCTAGTCGAGTCTTGAGCTGTATATCATCATCGCTGCCCTTTGGTGGTAGCTTAAGCAAGGGCAGAAGCCGCAGGACCAGGTTAAATACCACGGCGGCTTGATTGACAGATGTCCCGATCTCAGAAATTCCCTGGAGCAAAGGAAGCAGGATTTCGACTCTTGCATCTGAGCCCAGACGATCAATACCTTGTTGAAGGTAAATCAAGTCGAAATGCCGGATGAGCTGGGACTTTTGCTCTTTGAACTGCTTCAGCAAAGCCGTGACCGGCAGTTTGATAGACGGGGCTTGGACTCTAGTGTTGACATGCTGGCAAACTGCAATCACTTTATTGCGAACAGCAAGACTTTCAGATCCCAGCTTCAATAAGAGGGGAGGTAGGTATGTATTAAGCAGGGTTTCCAGTTTGGCATCGGTATCCGCCAGCGCAATCCGGAGCTCAACCTTGGATATCAAGCTCAACTCGCGAGCTTCGGAGCTTGCTGGCGTAGTGTCTGTAGCCATGAAAATTGAGGTTATGTCTAAAGAAGAGAAAGATTACCACATTGATGTATTTTTGGTTCTGCAGTAAGTCTATAAAGCTTCCTCAGGGGTATGATGGGGGGTAATGAGTAATAGAGGTTCTTGGGTCTGAGCTCAAGGCAGGCGATCCAACGTCACCCCCGCCAACCCGAGGCCACGATAACATCCCGATTGGGAAGACAGTATCCACATTAGTCAGCATCCGGGGCTCAGGTACCGCGTGTAACGGAGATGTACGATGGTATCTATGCCTAAGGTGTCTCGGGACATTGCCTAATGTGGAGCACATCTAACTAACCTATATCGGAGGATGTAATGACGAAGGTAAGCCAAACATTACATTTTATGGTATAGAGGTAGATAAGCAAAGTTTAAATGACATGAGCCACACTATGTGATTCGTATAATACAGTCATCATCTTTCGCTGAAGGTCAAGCGTGGGCAGTAGCCGCCCTTCTCTGTTCAGCTGCCTCACCCCTCAAGAACCTTGCAACTTCACCTCCGGCGTTGGCCAGATGACCATTTGTGGGTTTGTTCTGGCTCGAATTACCAAAAATACACTGCCATAGATCATCTTTCTTCACCATTTCACCTCCTGATGCCCCGCCGGCCATTAACTTGGACAGTGCTGCATCTTGCAACTCTAAAGAGTTAGCCGAATCAATGGCAGTTTCGGTGAGATTGGGTATTGATGTTCCATTGTCCGAGGTACTAGCGAGCTGTTTTTCCTGTTTTTTCTCCTTCTGCACTATGTGGGCTAAGCGACGCGACACCGAGAGGTCATAGATTGACTGCTCGACGGTGTCGGAAACCAGATACATCCAAACAGTGGTGGGCCGATGTTGGCCAATGCGGTGTACGCGAGCGATAGCCTGAAGCTCAATTGCAGTGTTGATCAGAGGCTCACAAAGGAAGACATGGGTGGCATTTACTAAATTGAGACCGGAGGAATGTGCTTTGGCGTGTAAGAGGAAGCATTCAACCTGAGTAACGATGAGAAGTTAGACGCTGATTGCCAAACCTGATTGGCAGGATATTATACTTACTGCAGGGTCACTTTTGAAGGTTTGGATGCCATCCTTGGTGTCAACGCTGCTGAAACCAATCTTGAACCGGGAAAGCGCATTGGCGAGGATTTCAAGAAAGTTTTTGTACTGAGAAAATACAACCGACTTGGCCCCAGGATCATGCTCCCGAAGCCATAAGATGTGCCGTGCCAAAGTATCAATCTTTGTGCCATAGGAGCTATCCAGGTCAATGTTTTTGATTTCTTTCAATGTGCTCGAGCTTATATCGGCATATATAGAGTTTTTCGAAGGACGTTCGAACTCTAGTTTAGTTGGCGCTTTCTCCTCCTGCACGACAAACTCTTGCGGCTTATACGTGATCTGGTGGAAGTCGTTTGCTTTCAAGCGTTTCTTGCACGTAGGGCAAGTTCGATGCTGATGCCACCACATTCGCAAGCAGTCCTTGCAATATTTATGACCGCAAACCGTCAGAACACCTGCATTAGGTTAGCACCGCCGCCACTTGAAGGCTCTAACTTGGATTTGTGCTGCTGATACTGACCGACTTCGAACCCAGACTGGCAGATGACACATATTCTTGATGTCTCGTCCGAGCCAGACTCATCTCGCAGATGGATTAGGTACCGACGTTTTGCTCGCAAAGAAGAGATTTTCTCGTCAATTTCACTCTCCTTTTTGAGCTTCGAAGTGAAGAGTGTCACATCCAACGGCTGACCAACACTGTTTTCATCATATGGGGCAACAGTGTCAGATATCTGCTGCAGTTGACGATAATATTCAAGCCGATTGTTCATCGTATCTCGGAACATCTCAACCTCCCTCTCCAAGCTGGAAGCAGCCTTGGACTGTTCAGCTGCCAGTTGGCTTGCATGTCTTAGCACAAGACTGACATTCTCGAGCTCTGCACGCGCTCGAGAACTTCCTTCATTCGCTTGCCATTCAAGCGCGGTGGTCAGGCTGCGAAGCTCACTGATAATGCCTCGAAGGGACCCGAGTTGCGGACCAGGCTTCAGATTACTGCGTAGGTTCATCACTTCCAAGAATAGGGTTGGAGAAGGCCCTTCGCCCTTTTGTGCTTGGATAATTCCTTGCTTAACTTCATGGGCAATGAGAACGTTCTTTTGTCCAGTTAAGCAATCATGACGGTCGGCGAACATTGCGCGCAAGGCTTCCATGTAAACGTACATTTCATCCTGGTGCTTAGTGGATTTTTCATACTCGTCACCTTCGAGCTCCGACTCATCCTCTTGGTCGATGAGTGACTGGGAGAGGAACTTTATCATGGTTTGACGCCAGTTATCGTACTGTGCAGCATGCTGATTCATGGCTTCACAAAAGTCTTCGAATTTCTCGATCACGCGCCGACCTTCTAGCCCTGTGCTATATACCTGGGGCTTCATCTTGGGAATGTTCACGAATTCCTTCTTGTGCGACCTTTCCCTTATCAATTTCATGTAATGGCCGACCTTTCGGGATATATCAACCAGCATCTCCTTCCGGATGGCTTTCGCTGTGGTATACGCCTCCTCTTCCTGTTTCTCGAGGAGTTTGAATTGTTCAGAGTCCTGTTCAGAGTCCTGTTCAGTGAGCTTCGGATCTGACTTGATCTGGTAATACGCGTTCCCCATAAAGAACACACAGATGTGTTGGACCTCGAGAGCTAAGCGCAGTCTCTGACGATATGTACCAATGCGAGTGTTCTTTTCGGTTTCTTCCGCCTCGTTATCACTTAATGAGTCTACTGACACAAAATCTTGGTTATCGTCTGCGGATGTGACTCGACTCTTCATACGTTCCGTTTGCAACCGGTCCCGGCATTCTTTAACGATTGCACTTGCTCGTTCCAGGCACTCCTTCCACAGTTGGAGTGCTTCATGCTTGCGCATTGCATTCTCCAGCAACTGCCCCCGCCGAAGCTGAGACAGGAGCAAAGTGCGCTCTTCTGCATGTATGAGCACGTCATTCTGGTCGATCATGACCTCGAGCACCTCATTCACCGACCGTAAGGGACCGTTGTATCCAACGCCCAAAGTCCGGCGACCGGTGCCTGCAGGATGAAGGCAGGTTTGACGGAGCCTGACTAGCCAACTTCGCATCTTCTCAACCACTGACGGGTCATTAGGATTCCATTCATCAGTTGTCGGTGCGCCTGATAAATCAAGGCCACAATCTTCACACATCTGCTCGTACAGCTGGCCATACTGTTGCTCTTCCACTGCAGTGAAAGGGATTGTTATAACGACCCTCTTCTGTGGTGGCAAACGAAGCTCATCGCGAACATGATCTTTGCTATGACGAAGGGCAATTGTGTGAACTATGTGTGCTAAAATAGATCGGAAAGACACGCATAGCCTATTCCAGATGAAGCCACAATAGGGTTCGTAATGAAGAAAGAGCAGCAGACCCAGAAGATCTGTGATATCTTTACGAAGAGGCGTTCCAGTTACCGCCCAAGCTAGTTGACGTGGAATCAGACGAGCAACTCTCGCTGCATTGCTGACACCGCTCTCAATCATCTGTGCTTCATCTAGGCAGACCCGCCACCAGGATATCTGAACAAGCGGCGTTTTTCTTGCCTCGAAACGCTTCTCATGGCGCAGGTTTCGCTTTGGAGCATCACCAGAATAGTGGACCTCCCGAGCAAGAACGTTGTAGGTAGTCAGCACAACATCATGATCCGATATTAGCTCGACCAGTTCATTATCTGCGAGTTTCGGATGACGCTGAATCCCTTCATAGTGATATACACTCAGCCCTGGAGCATGCAATTCAATCTCTTGCCGCCACTGCTCAAGGATCGCCGGGGGTGTTATGATCAAAGTCGCTCTTGATGGCTTCAAGCCGTCGGCGCGTTCATGCTGGCCTGTATCCTCCGAGAACGTGAAGCGTCGATGGAGGCAAATCAAGGTGATCATTTCGACCGTCTTACCCAAACCCATCTCCTCGGCTAGCACGCCCCCATTAAGGACGTTCTCGGCATCATACCAGCTTGTGATATTGGAAGTAACGACCATAAACAACTGGCTGGCGAAACACTCTTTACCATCCGCATCAGTAAACCTAATAAAGGACAGTGGCAGGTCACTGGTAGACTCCCGCTTTAAAGGAGCAATTCTCCCGTCGGGTTGAAGTTCCACGCCTTCCCTTTGCAATAACCATCTGACTGCCCTTCTTTGAAAGGGGAAAAGCTGACACTCTAACAAGTCACACTTTATATCTGCTGATGAAGCAGGATTGTCTGGTGGGACATGTACATTGTCATAGAAGTCACGTGGTGACCAACCTGTTGCACCCATATCCCTACGGTGCTTTTGCCGAAGATTTTCGAATACTGTGTCATCATCATCCCGCAAGATGTACCTCGAGAAGACTTTTGCTGGACCAGTCGGCATCTTATTGATATCTGGGACATCAAGGGAGTCCCTCCACATGATGACCGTCTCCAAGCTGAACGTCTTCCCATCAGACAGACAGTGAAGAGTAGATTGATAACAAATTGAAGGCACATTCTTTTGAAAGTGGTCGGCGCAAGCAAGGCTTGAGGCGAGAGACAGATGATTACCCAATATAACGAGCTCCGAATCAGAGCTTTCAATAGTGAAAACTGTTTCACGCCCAAAAGCCGACACTAGTGCCAGGCTGAGACAGCTATGCAGCCCTTCATTCTGAACAGTGGCAGACTGGGTCGGAGCAACCCTATTTACATCGAGGATGACAGGTACAGTATCCAGCGGCTCGGTAGCACCATCCTTGTCATCTCGATCATGAGTTGCAGAATCAAAGTTCTATCAAGCATCAGCAGGTTGGTCTAAAGAGACTCGGGAGAGGCCGGCTCCTGTCACACAGGGAGGATACATACCAAGCGCAGGTTGAAACGCGCCAGTGGTATATAACCTATTGGTACCCGTGAGTCCGATAACCCATTGAACTGTCTAAGACTCCGAGTTGCCGAAGCCAGCTTGCGACGTTTACTCGGATGCTCATGGGTCACTGGCTGCTCGGGCCTGACGAAGGCAGTGGCCAATGATTCCGGAACATTGCCTGGAGCGTGAAGATTAGTAGAGAATATTAAGACATGCCACCCTAAAAGATGTCAAGGAGTTGTACCAGGATAAAGAATTTCTGCATTCAGTACAGTCATGCCGCCCCCTCTTGTCTCTGACGCCTCAGCTTGCCACCAAATGAGTGTTGAGTAGAGTAATACTCTCTCACTGTTGCTCCGATACGGCGATCTGATAAGAAGATCTCACGTGCTGATAGGGCTGGGTTATGTTAAGTCCGGAATTTTTCCGTTCTAATCATTGGCTTAGTCAACCATGGCACAGTCATGGCCGGATCTGTGCTTCCAACAATAACTACATATAGATAGATAACGCAGGAGGCCATGGAAACATGCTCTGCAGTGACATAAAAATTGGAGGATCCGCTTATGTTGTTTGGGTTTCATCTACTTTGATCATATTTGGGTCTCATACATGTTTGCACCATGATCTCGGGCACCGCATGCCTCCTAGCTGTCAGTGTCCGATTTCTGCTCTGGACTCGTCCTGTTGCTGGAATTACAGCGTTTCGCAACTGAGATGGGTTATCGTTATTCACTTATGATAGGATCCCATGGGCCATTTTTCTGTTTCTCTTGTTGCTGTACAAACCGTTTAGAACTGGCGTCAGGCCTTATTTCATAATATAATTTTCTCTATTCTAACTATCACTGCTTTACAGATTAGTCCTTTCGTTCCGAAGGGCCTGCTTACCACCTCTAATTCAGGGATCAGGGTCTACAACTTAAATTCCGCATGCGGCATCATTAGCTGGACTCCGTGTCAGTAATCTTCTCGCGGACCTACACTGTCACTTCCTCATCTTGTGCTTTTGACCATAGTGGTTTTTCTTTTAGGTACAGCGCCTACTGTTTTCGTAACCAAGGAAGTGCTATGAGTTGAATGGACCAGATGACGGAAATGATCGACCAAGGTAAAGGCACAATAGCAATATGCAAGACGTTTTTTCGCTGTCCTATTCATAGAGAACGCCAAATCCTGTTGGCTAGTAGATAATATTTAGCTGATATGACCGTTCCGGACCCTGAATGCGATTATGGCCATCGTGTCTTCCAAATCATCCCCTAGAGCTGGAAAAGCTCCCTCAACTGTCTCATGGTGTCATCAGGGTCCTCAACGGAGTGACCGATCGTCCTAGGGTCACTGTAGATCTCGTAGTCGTTACCACCAGGGAATGTCTTGTCACCGAAGAAGTGGATCGTCTTATAATCGATACCCGTAATATCTTTCTCGGCTTCGACGTGTTGTAGGCAGTAAGTCTTGTCCCAGCCGGTCGGGAAAACGTCAAACGAGATTTCACCACCAATGGAGTAGCTGTCCAGAACTGTTAATAACTGTAATGACCATACGCAGTCACTGAAGGCCTGGTGATCCTATTACATACCTCAAACCATAGTCAGGGAACTCCTTCTTGAGCGCATCTACAAGGTCGCGGCGGATGTTGTGAATCTTGTCATACCTGCTCATAAGTTTAGTCAAGAGGTCCTGTATATGTGGGCACCGAGCTACCGCTCGTATACATACGCTTCAAACTCCTTCCGTTCCTCGGTGCTAGCATTTCTGCCAATCGGGCTGACGTTGATCATGCCATTGCGGAATTCGACGAAGGTGCCGCGCTTCTTAGGGATATCCAAGTTGGCGATGTACTTGAGCAAGAAGTTGACCAACTTCTGATATTTTTCCTCTCCCAGCCATTGGATGAAGCTGTTGCTTTGAAGAGGCTTGCCCAGGCGGAAAGCGGTCAAACCGTTCTCGGCGAAGCAGAAATCGAATAGGGTTGTGACGTCCGTGGTGTTTCTACCGAGCTGTTCTTGCTGCTTGGGAAGATTCGAGCCACCGACCTGACAATGTGAGACTGCGCGCTGACCCTAAGAGAAATGAAGGCAACTAACGAATCCGATCGCGCACTTGTGACGCAACTGAGAGAGAAGCGTGAGCATCTCCGGGGTGACATTCTATAATCGGTGTAAAAAAGAAACAGATCAGTCTTTCGAAATACTAAACGAATAGACAGAGCAATTCCAAGGAGTTGATCATTTCTTTCTTGCGAACTTACAGCTCGGGCAGGCGTTAACGTCTTGTCGACATCAAAGAGACAGATTGTGCCCTTGAGGGGGCGGTCCTGCAGGGCAGGATAAATTCCGGCTGCTTCAGTGGCCATAATGGATATAGATTTGAAAGATAGTTGAGGAACAAGGTAAGTGAGAGAGACTTTGAAGCCAAAGGCGCAATTGACTGAGGGGCAATTGGACTATGTATCTTTTCAGGGGCGGACGTTGTGACAGCCGCATGCGGTGAGCTGGAGGGACAAGCGGGGGGTTCCAGACAAACATTCTTACAGCTTAACCGTATCGGGCGGCTTCCAGACAGCTAGGCAGTGAGGCACCAAGGCCAGGCCCAAGGCGGTCAATCTCCAATTTCTCCATACGGATGATCCACGTGGGGCTTGCTTCGCTTATCGATAAGTGTGATAAGCCATACGGTGGTTGCTGAGAAAATCGCAGAAAAAGGCGTAAATAGTACTACTCCGTACATCTATTGCCGTTGCCATTGTGCTTGTTCCTCTTTCGTCTGTAGTCAATATATTTCTGATTCCGAGCGTACAGATACTGATAGTGTATTCAAGTTCCATTAAGACTAGCCACAGGCCAATAAAACTCTTGTATATGAGGCAGACAACAACGCCAGACCAACTCAAACTCCTATCCATCGCGTGAAACGTCAACGGCCCATGGTCGTCTGAAAGACCTTGGCTGCTAATTCACTCAAAAGTCTTGCTCGATCTGTTTGAGGAAGCTGGAGGAAGACATCGTAAACGCTCTTTCCTTTGGCATCTCGCACTGCACCAAGACGATTGCCAGCGACTGCGCCAGCCAATGCTCCAGGAGCATTAGCTACGATGAAACCGAGAGCACCGCCACTAATCCCACCTACAACGGACCAGAACCGAGATGTCGGGTGTGAACGAGTCTGACCGTCAGCATCTGTGCCTTCGCTGGCAAGGCCCTCTTCACGCAGCATTTCTTCAAACACCGACCCGAATTGCTCATTTGCACGTTGCTCACTATCAGCAGTGCCAGTGCCAGTGCCAAAGCCAAAAGCGGACCAGGGAAACCCTCCTGCACCTCCACGGGGCACTTCCTCCTCTTCCTCCTCGACACCGCCTGCCATCCTCATCGCATCATACTCCCGTCGGCGTGATACATCTGACAACGTGTAATAAGCATCGCTAATATCCTGAAACTTGCGTGTCCGAGCCGCCCTCTCTGGCGAGTCGACAGGGACTCTGTCTGGATGAGACTTCAGAGATTCCCTACATGGTTCAGAACAGAGCATGGTCGCAGCATGATGGGCATTGACTCACCTTTTGTATGCATTGCGAATTTCTTGTTGTGTCGCTCTGGGAGACACTCCCAGTACCTTGTCTACATTTGACATTGATTAGTTCTCTTTCCATACAGTATGTAGAAGTTGGCATTTCGTACAATAATCGCGTTGTTCTAGTCCACAGTCAGTTCATATGTTAAAGCCATGAAACACGTTCGTGCACGCTTACTAGGCATGTCTAAATGTCTCTATGTTAGAAGATGTGCCGTGCTCCAAACTCAGATGGTGAAGAGCCAGATGAGTGTAGCTTCATTTGTGTCCACTCTTCCTGAGAGGTCATGACTCGGCGGGGGAAAGATGACGTCGACGAGGCATTCATGCCTCAGGCATCAGGAAGCACGGAACGAAGGTTCGGCCTTTTCCAGCGACTCGTTTTTGCCAAAACAGCAGAGACGGGAAGCCCCTGAGGGCAGCACCAATCATGGGAATGGCGCCAAAGTTAGGACGCCCGGAACCACTGTCACCAGCCACTCGTAGAGAGCGTTGTACGTACGCTGCAGATGCTAGCCACTGCTAGGAACACACTAAACAGTAGGCACAGTTCAGTGGTTAGTGATGGTTTTCAGCTTTGCCTCCTGCACAGACGGGGGAGTCTCACCTAATCCCCTCCCCCCTTCATTTCATTTAACTTCCTTCACACGGCTCGCCATGCTACTTTAACCCTCTCAATTGCACGCCTTTTAGGAGACTCAAAGTTGTCTATGATAGATTAGACTTGCAGTCACATTCAATTGACAGCAGTGTGGACAACCCCAGCTTGTGACTTGTCCAACATCCGCACCGCGACTCAGCTGTGGAGCTGGCCAAAACGCCTGGACCTCAAATTGTGTGCATTTGCAGCACGCTACGACTCCGCAATAGCGCGATTGCTTTTTACAGGCTTCACCAGCACACAATACATCCAGAGGGGTCATACTTTCGTGCCTCCAGCCGTCTTTATCAACTAATTCGCTTGGGAAAGTACTGTGTCAGCATTGACCGAAATTTCAAATTTGACCCTGCCAATAAGTCGTTCAAGGCACCCATAATCAGGAACACCGATTCAAGATGGGCTGGTTTGATGGAAAATCTTCATCCTCGTCTTCCCACCACTCTCATTCCCGCCGACGTTCTTCCCCCTCACGACGTTCCACTTATTCAACTCATCATCCTCGTCACTCTGCTCCGTCGATATTCAGTCTGAACGGCGGTGGTAGTCGCGTCGGACGCACCAGCCCGTCCGTGCTTTCTTCATCCTCATCGCGGCGCGCACGGCCCCGAACAGGCTTCGTACAGAAGGTGGTTCGCGCCATCAAACGCTTGCTCCGTGACATTTACGACTATGCGCGTCGGAACCCAGTGAAGGTTCTCATGCTGGTTGTCATACCGCTCCTCACGAGTGGTGTTCTGCAGAAATTGCTCGCCATGATCGGAATCCGACTGCCAAAGGGGCTTTTTGGCGGGAATTCATCGAAGCCCAGTGGCAACAGCATGTCAGACAATATCAAGGGCCTCATGAACATTGCGAAAATGCTGATGTAACTACTGAGGCATTGCTTTGCGGTCTGTATTCCAGCGCTTCTGCACTTTGGTGTATGAATGGGAATATCAGCGAGAATTAGTCAGAAAAGATAGACACGACACGATCATGATACGACAATGATGATACGACGCAAACTTGACCTGATGCTTCTTGGTTACGATGTCCGTTGGCGGTTGCGGGTAAATCCAAAGAGTCATGTTCCCGATATGTTTTTGATATTTATCGTTTACGGTGTTATGCAAATGTTCAAGTATTTAGACACGATTCCAATGAAACGTTCCCCACGGCCTTCTGGCCTTCAAAAATATTTTTGGACACCAAACACTATTTGTACACATGCAATGGCAAGAATTGTTCGTAAGCTCTTTCGAGGGGAAAAGCATCGAACCACAGAGAATACCGCATATCAAGTAAGCGTGTTTCGCTATCTATGTCGGATTCTTTACGATCTCTGAGACCGCTTTCCCCGCCTCCTTGCCTTGGAAGGTCTCGCAGAGCTGGCGGTGCCTTCAGTCGACTCCTCCACGACTTCGGAAAGCTCCTCCTCTGACTCAGCACCGCTATCCACGGCATTTGAAGTGAGCAACCTGCCAACCGTCTTAGAGTAAACCCAGCCCGGCAAGCGGAAGACCATCGTGTCACGAATTGTCGGACGCTGAATCTCATCGACGTCGAGCAAGAATTCCTGACGCTCGCCATCTTCTGTTTCCTCCTCCAGGAACACATTTCCAAGAGAGTCGACAATCAGTACCTTCCCATTCTCAGCAATCACCTTCTTCCGCTCCCCAGTGGGCTCCGTCTGAGGCTCGGAAGTGGGCGTGGCCGTTCCAGAGTTCCGGGATGTCGCCCGGCCACCTTTCCTGCCCTCCTTGCGGTTGTCCCTGTCCATCATGCGTTTTTGGCGACGGTTCATAGGCATAGCACTCTGTTCGGGCTCCGGAGCCGGTGCCGGAGTTGGGGCAGGAGCTGAGGCACCATCAAGACCGGGGATACCCCGGACACCAGATTCATCACCCCAGGCAGCTCTCCTCGCCTGACGGATGTAACGATCGACGAACTCCCGCTGGCGCTTCCAGCCCAGCACCAAAGCAGCGTAGTGCGCACCACCACCAAAGACCAGAAACAAGCCAATAAGCACGGATCCCAGACCAGGACGGAATCGCGAATAGTAGTAACCAGTTCCCTTCCACTTGGGGAAACCATTCTTCAGGAAATGGTCGTAGCGCTCGCGACCCGGGCCACGGAGGATATTGGCGACGGTGTTGAGGCGAGCGGAGCGCTCATGAGCCTCCTTCACGGCCGCGGCGATTTCGCGCTTCGAAGGACCATTGTTGACATGGACACCGGACTTGGAGGACTTGGAGCGAGACTTGTCCTTGGAGCTGTTGGCGATGAAGGACCGCTTGACTTTATCAGGATGCAGAAGTCGGGACTTCTGACGGTAGGCCTTGCTCAATTCATCTTGGTTGGCGTTGGGTTTGGCGCCGAGGAAATCTGTCCGTCGGGAAGATGGTCAGTGGCGGGGGACTTTGGAGGTGGAAGGGGAATTTGTTTGCTCAGGTGAAACGTACCGTAGAATGTCACATTGGGACCTTCTGCAGCGGCGAGTTCGTCATTGATACGGAAGATTTCATAATCTGGAGAGTCGCAGAGATTTAGTATGTGGGAATAGAGAAGTTTGCGGGATAACAGAAAGGAAAATAGAGCAGCAACTGACCTTCTTTAGTCCAAGCCGCGGCCAGAACAATCAGGGCTACAAACGCAAACAGACGAAGTGCGATAGACCTCATCGTGGAAGAAGGGAGCGGTCAAGCCGCTGGACCCAAAGCGAATGAGAAGAGAACGAATGAAACAGAAAGAGCAGTGGAGAACAATTGGTGCGCCAAACAAAAGACTACATGCAACTCATGTTCATGATTCAACAAGTGGTGAAGTACTTTGTAACTTGTTCTTCCTCCAAAAACGAGATAGGTGGAATCCTCAGGCGACGATACCGCCAAAGCAATGATCTGTCATCAGGCAGGAATGGCGTTACGCTTACGTGACGAGAGAGCTAGGCCTAGAATGGGCAAATCCGGGTTCACCGCCCAGATCGGTATGGAACGCCTGAAACGGAATTACGGTACGGGTCCAGTGGAGTCTGCAGCTGCACGACGTGGTCCAATAAAGGATCCAAGGCCAGGTGAGGAGAAATCGAAAAGAGGAGATAGGTAGATGGAAATGTGATTGATACCTAATGTTTGCAGAAGTGGCTATTCCAACTCACAGGCTGGCTGGCAGTAGAGAGAGGGGGTGGTGGTTGGGACAGCTGGGGTTTAAATTCGAGACAAGTCCCCTCTGGCAGTAGTGTAGTGGATAGTGAGTGAGTTACTGAGTGCTCTTCTTCCTTCGACTACCACCTGAAATAAGGTATATCAGACATGGAATTGGAAGAGCAGTGGAAGATGATTGAGGGGAAGTGATTGGGATGGCTGCTTGAGTAGTCCACCCTCAAGAGTGATCGTCTATCTCTCTTTCTATCGAGATCTCTTCTTCCGCATCCAGCTTCGAAAGGTCTGTCTCTCTACTCTCTCCACCCATTGCTGCCCTGCTTTCTATTCTTAGCGGGCCTCATCCACCGTTGTATCTTGATTGGATTCGAGGGTCTATGAAACCGGAGCAGCGACTGGAGCAGTGACTCAAGCGTTGGATCCAAACGTGCCTTGTTTATTTGCCTTGCCATCCATTCCTCCGATACCTTATAAGAAGCACCCGAATCCACTTGTCTTCACAATTAACCTTCTTTGTTGCTGGGCGGTACCTCTCAAGCCTGTTACAAGGCGGATCGGTACCTGGAGGGTACTTACTTCAGTTACTTTGTCTGTGCTTCCCGCCTGGAACCGCCGGGGGGGAAACCAACGAAAAAAAAAAAAAAAATACCGAGACCAGTACTGGAATACGCCTAGACTAGTTCGGTGCTTCCAGGCTGCCAAAACGCCTCGTTGGTTTTGCTTTCGGGCCAGCTAAGCCGCTTCCAATCTTCCTCGACAAAAACATTCCCCGGTCTCTCTTCTCTCTCGGTCCTTCCCCCTTTTCTTTACTGCTTTTACTACACTTCATCTCCATCATCTTACCGTCTTCAGTCTTCTCACACGTATCACTATTCTCCCGATCCACTTCATCTCATTCAATTATCTTACTCCTACCTTATCTTTCGAAATTCCTCCGAATCTCCAAAAATGCCTCTCCAGATCCCCATTGATGCGATTACCTCGCGCTTAGGCGAACGGTTCAACAGCGTTCGCTCTCAATCCCTCGGCACGCGCTTTGCCAACCTGCGTCCCATCTCCGAATTCCTGGACATCAAGCGTGTCTCCAAGCCCGCCCATTTTGGCGAGGTCCAGAGCCGTGTGAACTACAATCTGTCCTACTTCTCTAGCAACTATGCCGCCGTCTTCGTGATGCTCAGCATCTACAGCTTGCTGACCAACCCCCTGTTGCTCTTTGTCATCATCCTGGTCACCGGTGGTCTCTACGGCATCGGAAAGCTCCAGGGTCATGACCTGGAATTGGGCTTCGCCCGGTTCAACACTTCCCAGCTGTACACCGGACTGCTAATTGTCGCGGTGCCTCTGGGATTCTGGGCCTCGCCCATCTCCACTGTGCTCTGGCTGATCGGAGCCACCGGCGTGACTGTCTTCGGCCACGCCGCTTTTATGGATAAACCAATCGAGAATGCTTTTTCCGAGGAGGCGGTCTAGGTGGTCGGCCGCGAACTCCTTACGGTATGCCCCGATGGGGAAGACCACCGGGGGCACGAGTGGGGAGAGAAAACAGACGTGCAGCTCCGTGGGTGGACGGTGCGGCACGGATCGAGGAGATTGACAGCGAGGAGGAGGAGGATGCATACGCTCGATCGGCGTATGCGAGGCAGTCGGCGGGTCGGGACGAGGGTGGAGGGCCTAGGTTGCGCAGGCGGAAGATGGATTACCTTAATTATGTGGACGAGATGAATTCGATTGATGGGATGGACTATGATCTGCGTGAGGACATGGACAGCACGGTGGCGTATGCGGTTCAGCTAGCCATGAAGGACAAGGAGGAACGGTTGGTGGATCAAGCCTTGGAACGGATTCGACGCGCTCAAAAGCAGGGTCAGAAGAACGTACGACTTTCGGGTCGAGAAATGGAGGCGCTGGAGCGCAAGCGCATGCAGGCAAACCCGACCCCTGATCACGACTATCGGAATACAAGTCCCCAGGTTTCCCCCGGTGGCAGCCGATCCTCGAAGCCGCCGGACAGCCCCAGCAGCAAAAGGGGAGCGCAACGGAGGGGGTCCAATGCCTCGACAGCGAACAAGCATAGCGTGCCCTCACCGTTAGCCGAAAACAACGCTGCCTATGCGTTCTGGGCCTGGACCTCGGGGGCCTCTGGCGGGTCCCCAGCTTCTGCACGTTCGCCATCTGCCCGCACGCCTACAAGTCAAGCACCGCCTCGATCCCCTCTCCAGCCAGCTTATGCCTTCGACCGCCTGGCTTCCGTCCCTCAGATTCGCACACCGGTGGGCGTGAAGAGTCCCTCTGTGCGTTCCCTCCCTGACGATCCACAGTGGGGGCCTCCGTACCCTCCGCCGTACCCAAGTGAACCGCCGCCATACCCGACCGATCGTCGACGCCCCGAGCCAACTCCATACATGTCAGGCTATCGCAGCGTCTTTGACGATTCTGCGCGTGGCAACAGGCGAGGCGTGAATGCTATGCCGGGGGCTGCGACGGAGGGGCGTCTCAGTGCAGAGGAAGAAGAGGAGGAAGGAAATAGTTCCGATAACAGCGCCATGGTTGAGCGCCGCGTGGCCGGCAGTACGCCGACACGGGGGCCAATCGGGCGAGGCAGTCGACCCCGGAGCAGTCGATCTTGAACCCCCGAATCGTGCCCTTTCAAAACGTTGCTTTCTTTTCTATCATGGGCAGCTCATGTCGCAGCTGATTTAGCCTTGAATGTTTCTTGCGTGGATTCCCATGGTTGATTTTCTTGCGCGTATAAAACGTAATGGAGTTCGTCTAGAGCGGGTACCTGAAATGATACTATTGATAGTGATGATTTGTTGTCCAGATTATCATATTAGTAAATGTTAGTAATGAAACGCGTAGGGAGGTTCCCCAAGTAGTAGATCGTGGTGGCAGTGAAGTATGTATCCCTGCTGACGAGGGAAGCGAGACGAACTCGTGATACAGTTCATGCAAGTCACCGTGGCTGGTGGCGGATCCCGAAACCTAAACGGCCTGACTGACTATAAGAATTGTATCGACTGTATAAGACGATCCGAGCAGAATTGTGTCTGCCTAGACTACTAACTGGGCAAACGATGGGAGGATGAGCTAAAAGAAGTAGTAAGCCAGCAAGATGAATGTATGTATGAAGGAATTAACTAATTAATTGGGGCCTGAAATGCGAGGAACCGCGGACCGATGACGTCGATGAGGTCATGGGAAAATTGGCTGTGCAAAGAATGCCAATACCAGCTTCTGCTTTGCTTCCACTCTGGATTTACTTTGCAGAGCTTCCGATCCAGCCGGCAGTCCATTGGATAGACTTTGGGATCTACTATGTACTACTACTACTACTACTCTTTCAGCAGTGATGCCACTCTCCTGGCCGGTGGGCCCTCTTCGTCGTCACCATCTGGGCAGTTGCGTGTTAAATTAAAGACGGACTCGGTCTCTCCACCGACCCGGTCTTTTTGCTCTTCTTTTCCCTTTAGTCACTCTTTTATTCCTCTCCTCCTCTCCTCCCCTCGCTGCCAATTTCGCCCTCTTGTCGTCGGTCAAGGTGTCACCAACGCTGTCAAACGCCGTCTACCTCCCTCTTCCTGCTGACCCTCGGGATCCATTGATTGACGACAAGCCACTTCCGCCCCTTCCGGCGCCCGCGTTCCACCCGATCGCCCATCGCGACATCTTATACTATCTCGATCAGTCTTTCACGGCAGCTCTCCTTTTTGGCAGCAACGATAGCTAGAGTGCGCTGATTGCTGCGCTTGCTCGCTGGGACATTTATCACTTCACTGGAAGAGGGGAGGCCATATATAAACAATTTAGCGAAAATGTGGATTATATCATTTTGGATATTTCCGATCATCTCGGCGTGCACATGGATTGGTAGCGTCTCCCCCCTATACAATTGCGGGTCAATTGTTCCGATAGAGACTGACAAGTCCCTTCTAGCCATGTTGATTGCGATGCTGGCCACCTGGGCCAGAGAAGGATCGCCGATATATGCCAGTATGGAGACGGGTCAGACCATTGCGTAGGTGTCACGCGACCTTGGATCTAGGATGCGATTGCGATGCTGATTGTACACCTTTCGTTCTCTTCTAGGTATATTTCCGACATTGGAGCACAGGGTCTGAAGCCGCTTTTCATTGCGGGCAGCTGCGTCACGGTCGTTTTCCTCGATCTCTCTTTCCTGTCAGAACGCTGGTTGCGACATGCGGGTCAATTGGTCCCGAACAAGGGCAAATTCGACAAGGCCTGCGCAATCGCGTCCATTTGCTTCTCGATTGCGGGCGCCTTGGGATTGATCCTCCTTTCGATCTTCGATACTCTTCGTCATCCAAATATGCATGATGGCTTTTTGATCATGTTCTTGTTAGTATCTCATTGCGCATTCGAGGAGAGAAACCCTCGAGGCTGACATATCTGCAGGGTTGGATACTTGATTAGCGCCATTCTCATTTGTTGCGAATACTGGCGTTTGGGAATCTTCTATCGCTCCCAGCACCGAGTGCTCCTGGCCAGTTTCATCATTAAGCTCTCATTCGTCATCATTGAAATTGCGCTGGCCATTGCTTTTGGTGTCCTCGGCAACAAGGGTGGTCATTACCGGAACGCAGCGGCAGTCCTGGAATGGGGTGAGTAACCTCCAGTAGATGACTCTCAGGAGATATGTATAGATCGACTAACTGAGAATAGTGATTGCGCTTATCTTCACGTTCTATGTACTTTCTTTCGTGATCGACCTGCTGCCCTCGGTGCGCACGCGCAAGCATGTGCCGCAGGGCGAGAAGGTGTCCCGGAATGGACAGACGACAGCGGCCTATCCCGATGGCACATACGACTACGAGGAGCCCGTGACGACGGACTCGGCAGGGCCCAATGCTAATTACTACCGGGGACAGCGGATATAATTAGGCCCTTTTGAGTGGGCTCGGTGTGAGAAATGGTTTGACTATTTTGGAACGATATTTAACGATATATACCCCGTGGATAGGAGTGGTTGTATAATGGAGCTGATTGATTGATATATTGTTAGTGTTGTTGATGTTGATGTCTCTTGGGACCTGATCTGCGATCCTTTTGCACATATTGATCTATGACGTTGACTGTATAGTACGTGCCTAATATCTGGATAATGTATGATCATTGAGATACTACAATATTGACCAGCAAAGACGTTATAATAAAGCAGACATGATTACATTATATCATCGAGTAAGACATCATCTAGATCTAAAGAAATCAAATCTACCTATACAGACCCACCCCTTGAAATAAAAGATACCAAGAAAACAATGTAAGAAATAAAAAATAAATAGATAGATCAAGCCAACAACACCTCCCTGATCCTCTCAACCTGCTCCCTCCCCACCCCAACCGTCCCCAAATACCCCTGTACCCCACCATACCTCTCCTCCAAATGCGCCCGAATCGTCTCCACAAAGTGCCGCGGACACTTGGTATACTCCTCCGACAACCCCAACAACCTCACCTCCTTCATGCGCTCCTCCATCTCAATGACCAATTCACCCTCAGACCGGAGATAATCCTCCCTCATCACCTCCTCAGGCACCACATCCGCCACAAGCAGAAGCAAAAGAAGGATGATAAGACCCGTGCGATCTTTGCCCTGCGTGCAGTGGATGAGAATCGGATAGGCACTACTACTATCCTCAGTCTCATTCTCATCGCTGCCATCTGCGGTAGAGGTAGAGGTAGAGGACGACGTGGATGTAACAGAAGAGAATAGATCAAATAACGTCTTCATCTCCCCATAACTACTATCCAATGTATCCATGCCTAGTCCGACTAATCCCCGCGGAGACATGACTTGCTGTCCGACTATTTGGACGGCTGCGGGGCGGTAGCCTGATGCTACTAGGGCTAGGACTTTGCTGTATTTTTTTTATTTCTTAGTTTCTTCTTTTGATTTCTAGTGATTGTGATTGGGGAATAAGGATTTTGGGGAAGAGAGGATGGGAGAGGCGGGGGGGGGGGGGGGCGTACAAGAAATTCCACCAATCTAGCCGCCACAGAAGCGTCCGCTCGAATGCTTTCCCTGTTAAGCTGACGGGGAAACGAGTGACGGTTGGGAGATCGGGGAGGTGGATGTCTGTTGATGTTGTTGATGCTGATGAGGATGCTGTTGGTTCTGGTGCTGGTGCTGGTGGTGTTGATGTTTGTCTTTCGGGTGACTCTGTTGATGATGATGACGATGATGACTCTGTTGAAGAAGCAGCAGCAGCTAATTCAGCTAAGCGCTTGTTGGTGGCTATTTGATGTTCGGTACTGTGTCTTTGTCAATATGAAGGAAATTAAGAAAGTTGAAGAGTAGAATAATACCTCGATCTTAGATCCACGACCGTCGAGATATGGAATTCGTCTACGAGGCGGCGTTTGTCGCGCTCAGATGCATCGTCTAACTTTATTTAATCGAGGTGATGTTAGTACGTGTTTCAACCATTCCATATACCATTGATATACAGAATATGTAAAGTGGTAGGTATATATACCCTTGCACTTCGAAAGAGGATACCCTCTTTCAACACCCTATACAAAGTTATCAGTATACGGCATACGATATATTGATATACAAGGATATGCATACCTCTTCCCAATCAACTGGTTAACCGTACGCCCAACGTCCCGGAAATTGATAATGTTGTCGAACGGACGACCCGGAGAATCGAGATCTACGCTCGATTGGCGGGGATGCGAAGAGGACATGATTATCTTATCTGTCTTGTTCTTCCAGGTTTAAATGCAATTGAGAGAAAAAGGATGGGTTTATATATAGTACAATTGCAGTGTCTGTGATAATCTTTGTGAAGATTCAACGCAGGCAGAATAAGGCCAGATCAAGAAAAAAAAAAGTGGTACAAGAAGTGATGACTGGGAGGTCCGCTGTAATAAGTGCAGCAGTGGGAAACCCGAAAAGAGAAAGAAAAGACAAACAACCGCAAACCGGGCAGCCAATCGACCTAACGAACGGGACTAAGCATGCAGAAATCCAGCAAGATATCTTCGACAATATCCAAATGGCCCGGGCCAAGGCAGAAAAGGTGGAGGAAACGTGGATGCGCCGATGGGGAGCCGCGCGGCAAATGGCGGTGGAGCTTCAGCCATCAACAACACTATCTTTATGGCCCAAACTATTATCTGCTCGCTGCAGTGCCGCCCATCGTCGGGCCAGTCAGCTCCTATTCTCCCTACGATCTACAGATAGTTGATATGTTTCCACCCGCTGTTGCATGCTCATCTCCACGGTTACAAGCATTTGCATTGTCATTCGCACACTAGTTATCAGAATTGAATCCATCCTCGGTTCCATCACTGTCTGCCCAATCCTGGATCCGACTGAACACCCAGCAAACAGCAATCGCATCCAACACACACCCATCCCTACAGAAGTACATCGCAGTAGCACCGTAACATCAGTCAGAAGACGACACATTAGTGGTATGTACCCCAGTTCCCTCCCCGGTAAAAGTACACAGTACAAACACAAAAGATATTCCTACACAGTAAGATCAAATCCCACCCCGCGCGCCCCCCATTCAAATAGAATAATGGACAACACAAACGATCAACTCATATCAATCACAACTTCTCCAAGAACCTTGATTCCCGCCCAGTCCCGCTGCTCGCTCGCTTTGCCCGAACTGTTGGGACAGACAGGCCTTGTTCCGCCGCGCTCGCCCGCCGTTCCTCCGTCTCCACCCCCGGAGTGGGGATGGCCTGCGAGCTTCGACGAGCAATATCATTGCTGCCAATCCCTTCAGCCTTACCCTCCGACGAGCTCTTGGAAACAATCTTCTTGAACCCACTCACGAGACGACTGCGCCTATCTCCAGCGGATTCCTGACCTGCCTGGTTGACAGCTTCCTTCTCATCCTGGCCTTCGCTGACTGACATCCTTTTACTCATAACGCGAAGGTCGTTGGCGGTCACAGGATGGGATCGAAGCGCTGCTCCTCGCGAGCCGTCCTCAGCAGCTGCCTGTTCAGATTCTTCAAGGACAACAGGAGCAGCCGGTAGTTCCGGAACTTCAGGTTCCTTCTCTTCTGGATGAGCAATATCCCAAGCTCGCCCGTCCTCGTCTTCAGATTTCTGCACTGGCTCAGCTCTTGAGATCTCTCGAGCTTCCTGTGTTTCCACCCTCTCAGCTGCCTGGGGCTCCGGCGGTTGTTCCGTCTCTTCGACGGCCCGGGTCTCTGGCTGCTGCCCCGTGGCTTCAACTACCCGGGTCTCTGGTTGCTGTTCTGCCGTTTCACTCACCTGAGCCTCTGGCTGTTCTGCCGCTGGCCCTGGTTCTATTGAAGGGACCACTTCCAGAGTGTCCTTGCCTGACTTCGTAGCCTCGCCTGCTGCAGGTCCACTCGGACGACGGCCTAGCCGACCCTTGAACCATGATCTCAGCTTCGACTCGGACTTTGAGATGGCCTCGCCGGGAGCAGTCTCCGTAACAGCGCCTGCAGTTGTCCCCTGAGCACCCTCCGTGGACGTCTGTTGCGGCGCAGTCTCAGCGCGTGCCTCATCTGCTGCTCCGTCAACAGCCCCAGTTAACGTATAGGTTTCGTTCTCGGAAGTGCGCTTCGACTTGCGGCTCCACAAACGGGCTTTCTCCTCTTTGTACTTGGAGTCGGTCCTCAAAGAAGCTATTGCATATCATTAGTCTTTCTCTCCAAAGTATCAATAGGCAAGACAACTCACCTCTCATGCGTCTCTCCTCTGCCCTTGTGTCGGCATCTCGCTCGCGTTGGATGGCTTCTCGTCTCTCAGCCTCTTCCTGATCAAGACGCTGTTCCATCTCCCTAGCTCGCTTCGTTTCCGCACGGTCCGTGATTTCATCAAACGTGGGTTGCAACCGGGAACGAGCGAGAGCCTCCACATCTGCCATGTCGACGTATTTCTGTGAGCTGATATTCACGCGGTCGGCGAATTGGTACTGCGCGTCCGTCTCCTGTCTCTCCTTTGCGCGAAGTAAGGCGGTTTCCTCCAGTTCCTTCTGCATGGCGGCTGGCGCGCGCCCTGTCTCTGCATAAACACGCATCTCCATGTCTTGGATGGTAGCATCGACATTTCTTCTCGCAGCCTCCATCAGGAGCGCGCGGTCCTTTTCTCTGCGCTCATCCACCGCATCGAGCTTTGTTCGCAGACTATACATCTGGCTTCTGATCTCCTTCGATCTCTCTGCGTCAACCGAAGAAGCATCACTGTCGATTGATAGCCTTCGTCTGCGGACCTGTAAGCTAGAGCGCGTTGTCTGGGGCTCGATTCCGTAGTATTCGCGGTAGATGGCCGCCTCATCCTGCATGCTGGCCAACTTCTCCGCCGCCCGCTTCTCTGCGGCATCTTGTAAGCTAAAAGCCTGTTGCAAGATCATCGGCTCTGCTCCCGTCGCGGTCCGCTGGGAGCGCATGCGACTGGGGCTGATGGGGCCCTGCTCCTTGGCCTCAACAACCGCATACATGTCACGCGCCATAGAGACTGCTGCAGCCTGCAGGATGCTCTTCCGCTTGTATTCGTCGAGCTCTGGTGCGACAGGAGGGGTAGCGGTGTAAAGCCGTGCATTGGTGTTGGCAATATGCTGGATCCTACTAGCTTCCATGGCGTTGTCGAGATCCCCAAGGACTTCGCCCGCCTCCATTCCCACGTGAGGCGCCTCTGACGGGGCGGAGTCGGCTCTCCTTCGGTTAGCATATAAAGCACCCGTTACCGCATAACGCGTCCTATCTCGGCCTGTTGTACCGGAACGTGATTCGATCGTCTGACCAGCTCCGGACGAGTCATACTTGAGGTCTGACGGCCCAGTGGAAGAGCTGACGATCGACCGACGGTCCCTGAGAACGAAGGCCGCAGCCTTGTAGCCTTCCAGGCTTGGCACATCGGATGCGCGCTTGTCTTCCACATGCTGTGTTGTAGCTGCACCTTTTGTCCCCGATCCTTTGGATTGGGCGTGAGCGAGAGCGGCTACTGCAGATGCATGGCTAAATCCGGGGCGGGAGCCTGTCGCCTTCAAGGCTAGGGAACAGACGGAGAGTCAGTATTTGGGGGGATTGGTCCTATGGTAGAGTGAATACGAATAGGCGAAATTGATACTTACTGGCTAGTTCCGTTTCAGCTGTCGAGGGCTCACGGACTGATAATTTCCGTTCTGGATGGGTTACATAGAGAGCGGCTGTCGCAGCTGTGCATCGTGTTGTGTTAGCTGTGGATTCGCGTCTCGGTATACAAAGTAGAGTGGGACATTAGGACGCATGAGATCATCGATCATAGCAGCGTGGAGATATGATCAAGTAGGGTAGGGATGTGAAACAGGCTAACAGGGCACAGGGCACAGGGCACAGGGCCGATCAGGAGCCCAGGATGCAAGGACGCAGATCGTAACTCACCTTGATCCGCTAAGCGGGCAGACCGGGAGCGGCCGAGGGTAACGCGTTCGACGGGCGCGGGTTGTTCAAGGGTGGTTGCCATGATAAGATAACGACGATCGTCTACAGGGTAGAAGAAGGCGAGGCATTCCTGACGAAGAGGAGATGGGTGGAGGAGAAGGGGAGGAAAAGAGGAGGAGAAAAAGGTAGGGATTGGGAAAGGTTAAAGGGTAGGCAGCAAAAGGGAAGAAACGTTAAAAGGTGGATGTTGTAAGAAGGGGGAGGGGATAAAGTTAATGACGCCGATGATGCTGTGGGTAGAGTTTCATGAGGTGGTAGTAGTACTGGAGAGTAAGGGTATGAGTAAGTAAAAGCACTGTACTGTTTAGTTAGTTCGGTTAGTAGGCAGAAAAAGGGAAGGAACGACTGCCCACGCTGATTGGGGAAGGAACAGAGCAAGAGCTAGAGCTAGAGAGGAAGAGAGGAAGGAAGCTGAGAAGGGAAGGTGTGAGTGACATCAGGGCCGGGAGCTGATGTCATGATGAACTGAACAGACCCGAAAATGGTTGCATTTCTTGCTTCTTCCGGGGGTGCCTGGCAGCTCTTGTCATCGACTTTTGACTCTTCTGCAGTTCCTTCATTCAGCCTTATTCCATGGTTCCAGTTCTTCACTAGTGGGATGGTGAACTTTAAATATCTACATCTACAACCAAGATAGCACAAAACAAGTCTGACGAACATTATTCCCACGGTGGAGGGATGATCAGGCACTCATACACTCATGCACACTGTCTGGTAACGACAGCCATCATGCATCCCATCCACCTCTCTACCCACTCACTAGCTAGTCTAGACTTGCGCACGCAAGCACCAAATCTGGGTCTGTGTAACAACTTAGTAGACTAGACCCGGAGCCTTCAGATCCAGTCCCGCCTAATCACTTTTAGTGTTGAAACTAAATACCATAGCCATTGTTATAACTGGTGGTCCGGATGAATTGCGCGCGGACCCGGGGTCATGTCATCATGGCAGTGCCTGCCTTGCTCGTGCTATTCGCTATACCCCAGGGTTGATAATATCGCAGGGCTCTTAAAGATGCACGTTCCCCCCCGCGCAGCCCAAGGGATTAAGTATTGTTGAAGTTATCTATCTAAACTAGTCTCAGTCATTCGTTTACGAACCCCTCTTTCTCACCCTCTCCCCCCCTCCCTCTCTCACCTTCACATCTCGTATTCCTCATCCTCCTAATTCCTGTTCCCCAATAAATATAGCTACTAGCCTACCAGGCTCCAGTTGTATACCTACACCTTACTACACCTTCGCCACACCATAAACAAACAGAAACCCACCCACACCACCACCATGTTTTGGTTCTCTTCCCACCAACAACAACAGCAACAGCAACAACCTCCTCTCCTCCCAACCCTCCCCACCTCGAAATCCAAAATCCGTAGAACCCTCAAAGCACCCGGCCGCCCCATCGCCATTCGCAAAGACCACATTACCGACACCAAGACCCTCCTAATCGTGCGTCCCCAAGGCGATGCCCAATCCGCCGTGGCATACAAAATCCAAGATGCCGACGGCATGACGCTCTACACCGCTACGGGGCGCAAGTTCAGCAACCGACCTTGTCGCGAGTTCCGCGATGCGTCGGGCCTCCCACTCTTCGAACTACACCGCAAGACTTCTTTCAAGAACAACTGGTCCGTCACCTTACCCGGCAGTAACCCAACCAGCCCGATAGCCAAAGGTGCTGTCCAGCGCTCATCCTTCAGTGCCGCCGGCTGGGGGAACTGCAATTTCACCATCACGTTCGACAATGTAGCTGCGGTGGATGGGAAGCAGCCTGAGGAACGTACCCTGACATTGGAAGTGCAACGGCATGGGAATGTGCTGGCGCTGTTTGATATCGTGGATGGGGATCGCAAGATCGCCGAGGTGAAGGAGAGTATTCGCCATAATGAGAAGTTGGCGCTTATGCCTGCATCTCGCCTTGGGTATCGCCCTGTACTGGATGTGATTGTTACTCCCGGCGTGGATATGGCTTTGGTGAGTTTACCCATCTTTCTGTTTTCCATAGAGTATATATACTGCATAATACCACATACAGTATCTATACAGTCTACAGAAATCATGTTCTAACTAACCGGGGATTTTCTAGATTGCAACGATTGCGGTCATTGCATCGGACACTGTGTTTGCCTCGAATTATTGATTGCGCGCATGTTTTGGACTTTGGATATGTCGGAACGCCATTATGGTTACCATGAGATTATGAAACTGATGACTCTCTTTCTGTCTATTCCTCTTCTTTCACCTTGCAATTTTTTTTTTTTTTTCTTTTTCTTTTTCGTCGCTCTTGTTTTTCCTGATTCTATTGTGGTCTGTTTAATCGGCTGTGGGTACTTAGGTGGCTCGCTGGGCTGCGTTGAACCGCGGTTGACAGATTCCAGGCGTTTGGATGGCTTCCGGAGCTTCCCCAATGCTACCTTTTTCTACCACTTCGTCAGTGGATCCATCCATGGGTTTACTGTGGTTCTACTTGCTTGGCTAATTCAATCCTGTCCGGAGAGGTCACGCGGGACGAGTCCTTCCAGCCTCGGGTGTCTTCGGGTATTGTTTTGTTTACTTTTGTTTTCTTTTTTCTTCTAAACTTGGAGTCGAGCTAAAAATGTATATAGTTGTGATCGCTGAAAGTTATTGTCAAATCCAGTGAGGGGTATTCTTAACAAGGGAGAAACAAAAAAGCAAATAATCAAAGATCATCATCCGTAGATCGTGTACCTTCACCGCAAATGCAGCATCTTCAGAATATCATGGCGGCTGAAGAATGAGCGATTCCATTTACCGAAAATATCTGAAAAACAAAACACGTTAGTCCCTCCCCGGGCGAGTAGGGGTAACAGCAAGAAACACCTACACATCGGAATGCTCAAGGCACAGACTCCCATCTGAATGCTAGAAATGGCCAGGAAAGCCGGCCTGATGCCATTCAGCAGCAGCCAGTCATAGGCATAGAACGTCAACACAAAGCTGAACATGTTTTTGAAAACCAGCATGCATGTAAAAGACTCGATGGCAATCTCGCCTGTTGGAAGCGTCAGCTTTGAACCATAATAGATCCCGCATCTGGCAGCTATACTTACGATGTGCATCGACAATGTACAGCGCACTCGCGACAGCGCCCATCACCATGCCTATAATAACCAGAGCGAAGAAGACGTCCGCCACCAGCCATCCATATCGCGCGACATCCTCAGCGATGATACCAAACCCATACAGCCCGGCGCCGCAGAAGATCAACTGGAAGATCACGAGGAGAATGCGGAACTCCGGCTCGTACTTCCCTCGGTTGAGTTTAATCATGAAGCGGTTCATCGAATCGGAGAGAAGGCCCGATAGGATCAGACCCAGTATGGAACCGATGAAGGCCCCCGTGTACAGGTACCCGGTTTGCACCTCGTTGAACCAAAGGGGAGGGCCGAGGAAGATGGCGGCTAGGACGACACCGATGAATACGGTCCATCCAATGATTACGCCTTGGATCAAGCATGCCTGGTATGATGGTCAAAACGTAAGCTTGTGGATTGATGAGGCTTTCTACGGCATGGCTTACCCAAAGGATTGCGGGGTGGAAGAATAAGGGAAAGGGCCGTAAGAGGAGCTTGAAGAAGCTCTCGTCGGTTTTGCGTCCATTGAAGGGTTTGAGAGTTTGGAGGTAGGACACCTTGGCTGGTGTTTCTGACTCTCTCTTTCGGGGTAGCTCTTGTGAGGACGTAGGTTGGTGATGCTCGACTGCGGATGAGGTCTGCTTTTGATTGTCGGGCCCTGGAGTAACCTCCGACGTTGTGATATCATTGAGCTGGACTTCCGAGGCGGAGCGATCGTTGGCATATTCGAAGTCAGCGTTCAAGTAGTCCGGTCGCCTGAAAGCTGTCTCGGGGACAAAGAAGAATGTGAGAGGCAGTGCTGCCGCCGCGAAAATGGCTACCAGGTAGAAAGTCCAGTCCCATCCAAGGGTATGTGTGATCTTGCCCGCCAGTACTGGCGTAAGAAAGGCTGCACCAAAGAGAGCAACGTTGGACAGTGCCATCCTTTTGCCTCGTTCCTGTTTGCTTGATCAGCATGTGCTTGTGAGGACCGTGAGATGCGGTTTATACTCACGTGCACGTAGAACAAGTCACCGACACATGCATTGACCAGAGCTTCGAATGGAGCAAGAGCAATCCCCTGGAAGATACGAGCCCATAACAGACTCTGGTAGTTGTGCTTACTGCCCCCAGCCCAGGCACAGCTCACCACCATCAAGGCATTTCCGAGCAGGAAGAGGTGACGCTTTCCCCAAACTCGTGCTGTAGGTACAATCAAGATCCCAGCCACTCCAACACCACAGAGATGGTAGCCAGTGAGAAGCGCGACTGAGGTGAAGCTCTTGCCATAGTAAAGAGCAATTGTTACGGTGTTGGCAGCCATCAGCGAGCTTGTCGTTGCGCACAGCACCGCGACAAAAGACAGAACCAGAAGCGTGAAATCGCGCTTCCAGAGTGGCCAGTTCTTGTTCCGAGACTGTCAGCTATTGCCCATGTAGCTCGTAGCTCCTCAAGAGTGACTTCAACACACCAATGGATCGTTGGGATCATCGCTTGGCTGAGGGACAAGTAGGATGGGTACAGAGCCCGACCGATCGTATTTTAAATTTGAGTCGATGACCGGCTCGTTGTTGGAGTGTTCTCGCTCAAGTATGTCCGTGGTCCCTATTCAAAAGCAGTGTTCAGTGTATTTTGCAGAGACAAGCATGGTTGTTGCATGAGATGGCTCCTACCTGGTACATGAGGGCGCTTGGTATCCAACACGCCAAGCCGCATGATATTATTTATTCGTAGCCAAGCAGATACAATAAGAAACTAGAGCGAACAGTCACCGGCTAAGGTGGAAGCAACCGAGAGATAGTACAAGGAAGCCTATTGTTGATGGTCGGACGCCTAGACTCCTCCGGCTGGGGACTCTGGAAGGCGAAATCAAGGTCCCACGAGGATCGCGCGGGGAAGTCGTCATGCAAAGTGTTCACAATTGAAGTATTCCTACACGAGGGAATACAGTTTGCGGGGAATTTCTGCCTTCCAGAAATTCGTAAATGATGGGTGTCCCGAGGGGACATTCTCGTTCTGCAAGGGCGGTGGTAGTAATGAATAATGACAACCCTAGTTCGTGTATATCATCAGAAACCAAATTGGTGGGTGCGGGTCAGGATGCCCCTGGTGAATCTACTACTGGCTATGAAAGAACGAATTAGTACTCTTTTTCTAACGGGGGCAGCCAGGCCCAAATTTGGATCGTGGACCCCAGCCTTCTGACCATCTTTCTGAAAGTACTTTTCTGGAGGATGTCGATCGGATGAGGTAGTGTAACTCAAAGGGATAA